TTTGTCGGCAGTGTTTGTGTGGGAAAAGGGGTTACAATAATTAAAATATGGCTTAAAATTAAAGTTAATTATTTCGAAAATAGCTCAAATATAAATTCTAAGTAAATATTTCATATTTACTTTATATATGGCATTTGTAAAGCGTTTTTAAGACAATTAAGTGAAGACAGTGAAAACAAAACCTTAGGTAAGCTTGGCGTCATCAGATGTTAACAGTGTCTTTGACGCTGTACTAACTGCACGTTTGTCGTCAAACGACTACTCGTTGTCTACCGAAGAGTGTTTCAATCGCGAGTACTGGGAAATGATTGCCATTTGTGATCAGTTGGTCGGCCCCGACATCGATGGCCGGGATATTTGGTGAGTAGTTAAGGTCATAACGTATCACTTGATCGGGAGGTCTGACAGTGTTTTTGCATACTTTGCATGAAATCTAAGTTTTAGTGACCAATCAGTGCCCAAACCAGTGCCCAAACCAGTGCCCAAACCAGTGCCCAAACCAGTGCCCAAACCAGTGCCGCCGCCCATTATATGCGATTATAGCCGCTGTTATGGTATGTTTGCGACCGAAGAGATACTTCGTATGCATAAGAGAGCTGTCCATCAAAGCACTGACCGGTTGTTGACATCGACTCCAATACTGCCAAACGGTTCCAATGATAGCGTTGTGTCTCGAGAGCTGTCCGGCCTTTACAGACATAACTCGGTGTCCAACACATCCAATGAGTACTTGTTTTGCGAATTAATGTTTTTTATTAAAAATTTCCCACATATATAGTAGTGGTGTAAATGTTGATGGCTTGCGGTTGGATGACATACCTGTGCCCACATCGGCAAACGTGAACATTAATAACCGCTTATGGGATCCATTGTTAGGAGTGGGCACTCAAACCCCATCACGTGTCCACAGAGACATCAATGAAACGATTCCAGCGCTCGACTCGTCATCAGTCGGTGATAAGTCACCGATCCGTCCATTATTGCCGCCGCCGTTACCACCGGTCAGTCTATTAGGCATTAGTTTGTTTGCACCGATAGTGACGCCCGATATACCAGCGCTCTCTCACCTGTCGTCAATCTCTTCGGCTGATTCTCGGCTCAGGTATTGTAGTGTAGTTTGCGATCAACTATTGTATTTTTACTCTCTCTCTCTCTCTCTCTCTCTCTCTCTCTCTCTCTTCTCTTCTCTTCTCTAACTTGATTAGTGATAAGGAGAGGGAAACGCCGGAGGCATTGAAGGCCACCACCACTACTATCAGCCATTCGGGCCCTACAATGACATCCAGTGAGAAGCGATACAAATGTGACAAATGCTCGCAAACCTATGGCCGCGAGCGATACCTCAAAGCGCACCAGAAGTTGCGACACTACCGGCGAAGCGAGCGATGCGATCGCCAGTACCCCAAAGTGTCCCATTCGTCGGCACACATACGGGACAAACACTACTACCTGTGCCTATACGACCGATGCGAGCGCCGATTTGAGTCCAGCCGACTTCGCGACCAACACCGGCTTAAAGCCCACTGTCATTACCGGTGCCATTACACCGGCTGCGACCGGCGATTTTTAACCGGTCTTACACTACGCACTCACCTGCGATGGTGTCCGTATCGGCCCGACGCCGGGCGATCGCCCTCCACGTCTTCGTCGCGCAGGTATGCTATTTGGATGTAATGGTCGCCACAAATGCGATGATTATATGGTTTTGATTTTTGTCAGTAACAAAAGGTCGGCCGCCAGCAAGACTTACCGGTGCGACGTTTGCCGCACAAGTTATACCGATTGGGACACTCTCTACGACCATACAGTTCGCACACATAAACTCCGCACTCATAGACACGCTGTAACTCCCGATAGACCCGCGTTGACAGTCCGAGAGCGTAAAGGTAGACAAGTGGCCACAACTGATCATATGATCAACAAATCTAATAAGTATGTGATGTATAAGTGATTTGCTGCCAATTTATTGATACTTTAATACAAATATAATTTATTAAATAAATTTTTATTTTAATTCTTATGCTTATATATAATACAGGGACTCAACGCCCAATTGCAACGTCACCGATATATCGGTGTCCGAGAGTACGGCCGGCGCTTCGCCGCAACAAATGCCTACTAATCCGGTACCCGATCCACAGCCCGTGTCGTCCCTCCCGGAGCAGTCACTCAGTAATGACGGTGAAGGCGGAGCTGATAACAATATTACTGCCGCTATTTGTGATGAGTACGTTATTTAAATTAATATTAGTTCATTAGTTTAACAATCAATAATACAGTAACTTCTCATATAAAATATTTTTAACCATTAATTCATTTATGAAAACCTAAAACTATAGCACAGGGACTGGCGTTTCGGCACCGGATTTGCCAACGAATTCGCTAAACACATGCCTTCAATGCGGCCTAACGTTTGAATCGCCGGCTATACTGGAAGCCCATAAGATTGCCGGCCATTTGTGGGGACGGGACGGCTACCGGTGCCGCCGATGCGGACAAGTGTTTGATGAACTATGGATATTGATGGCGCACGTGCGGGACGCACATGTGCTGGCTAATAATAATAATAATAATTCCGTTCACAAGTATTGTTCAATTAAATGTTATAATAAATTGTTTTGTAATATTCACTTAATATGTATTGTAGCAATAGGTGTGCGCCCACATCACTGCCCGGTGCCGTCAATAGTATCGCGAGTTCAGTCGCTGCGGACATCATTGACTTATGTAGCGATTCCGAAGTGAGCACTTCCAGACACAGGTATATCAATACTCAATGACCGCTCGTGTATTATAATTCTCGCGAATATTGTATTATTTACTGCCACTTACAGGCCGTCGGCCGACGTGACTGCCGGTGCAGCGGTCGCCGAGCCATTAATTGCCGCTTCCGATAACGTCACCGCCGGTACAGACAAACCCCAAGCATCACATCCGACGCCAGCATTCGTGTGCTATACATTCGTGTGTATATGTGACAAACGTTTTCATTGGGAAAGTAGACTTAAACAACATAAACTTGATGTGCATAACGACCTGCCGCTGACGTATCGGTGCCGATACGAGGGCTGTGGCAACGCATACGCCAAGAAAAACTTATTGATTCGACACTTACTAGAGTTCAGTAGTCATTGCATACCCACTGTCAGTACTACGCATAGAAGGCCAATCGCCAGTACCGGTAGATCACCGCCGACCATAAGGCCAGTTCTTAAAGCCTACGCCGTCGCCGACAGGTCTCTACCCATGGCAGCAAAGAAGGTGTACGCGTGCGACATATGCGCCGACAGTTTTCACAGGGAATATGAACTCATAAATCACGAGCTATCTGTCCATAACGATCTACCGCTGACCTACCGGTGCCGCTACGAGAGTTGCGCCAAACCGTTCGCCACTAAATCACTATTGAATTTACACTTACGTGAGTGCAGTGGTGGTCACTCATCGATGGCCGGCCACACGTCGCGGCCAGTCGTTTCCTGCGCGCGGAGACCGATATTACGGACACCGGAAAGTGCCGGCGAACTCATGTACGGTAATCGAGACGCAAATGGGCTGCGTTTCGATCGCCAGTATAGCGAGTCTAATGAGTCGATTAATCGGCCGACGATTTGTCACAAGAATCGACACAAAACGGATGAAGCGATCGGCAAAGTGGCCGCCGAGAAGCCTATGGGTGTCTTCTCGACCGACGACTCGCTGTGCGAACGGTATGTGTAAATACTGTTGTGTTATGTTTCATACCTAATAGTATTGATTAAATGATTTGTTTTGTTTGGGATGTGCTTTGCGTTGATGTCTTCAGGTGTGGACACGTGAATTGGAATCGCCGGCTGTCCTGTAACTTGTGTTCGGTCGACAGATTCAGTGACAGCGAGAGTCGGCCGATAGGACTGGGAAGCGGTTATAACGGGCGTCGCGAAGGCGTCCGCATTTCAAACACCGTTTGCCAAACAATAGCCGTCACAAAACTTAAGTATTTTGTAGTGTTTTTTATTTATTAATTAATATCGAAATTAATGTTTAAATATTTTTATCCATAGAAATAATGATACAAATAATGTCGAAAAAATGTCAGTAAACGCCGAATGTATGCGTTTGTGATCAATGAGTTGTGATTTACGACCAAAACATTTGCTACAAATCTCTTCATTACATTTGAATGGCTTTACCTTTAAGTGAACACAACTTTTGTGTCGAAATAAATGATGATTTGATTTAAAACTTTGTTTACAGCCATTGAAACCACAAACAAATCTTATATTCAAATGAACACTATTTTTGTGATGAATTAATACTGATCTCCAGTTATACCTTTTATTACAACCATTGAAATCACAGTTAAATGGTTTTTCTCCCGAATGGATGCGTTTGTGTTGAATGAGAGTTGATTTGTAACCAAAACTTTTATCGCACTTTTCACTAAATATTTTAAATAAAACTTTTATATATAAATTTTTAGTCATTAAATTGTTTGATAAAAACTTTTCGATTGTTTTAATTATCAAAATATTAATCAATTGTGTGTTAAATAATAATTGCATTTTATAAATATATAAATAAATGGTTTGACTTTAAAACATAAAATTAAATTAATAATTAATCACAAATATTTAAGACATGTTCTCAGCACTGGTCAGACATCCAATGAGTCTTATGTTTAAAATCTCTGTATTTATGACCAAAAATATGCGACAAATATAAGGATTAAGTGTCTATCAAATGATAGATAAAAGTATTGTTTAAATAAAACATTAAATTTCAAGAGTTATAGATATTTAAAAATTATTTTCAGGTGACTTTTAATGGAATTAAGTATGGGTTGTGTTGGCACAGGTGCTCACATGGATGTTGCCCAGTCTTATGATATTCACACTAATCGTAATCTAAAGTTTGTGTCAATCCAATAGTTTTAATAAATTATATTTTTAAATAAAACATTTGAATTAAAATTACGTATTTTAAGGAAATTAAGTTTAATTATTTATTATTTGTTTTCATAGATTTCATTCACTTTTATAAAATACTCAAAATATTAATTAAAACATTTAATTAAATAATAAATACTTGAAATCAATAGTAAATCAAATAAAATATTTATTTGTTGTACGAAAACATGTTATGAAATCAATAGTTATTTCAAAAATCAGTCAATTTATATCTAAATATTAAAAATAAAATCCAATTTTGTTATACAATTGTATGACTTGTAGTGAATTAAAAGTAATGACAAATATAAAAAATAAGAGTAATTTGTTTTATAAAATGACATTCATTTGAAATTTTTGGGAACCGTTTGTGGGAACCGAAAGTCTTCGCTATCATTGAGTGGTTAAGAGTCTAACGACTCAATCGGTGTCCAAAGTGATTGTCTCAATAGAGCGAGTGTTAGAAGAGTTGTCATCACTTTTATACAATTTAAGGAATAGTTTGTAAAAAATATGCGTAAATAATTTTGTTATACAATTGTAGTACTGTTTGATTGATTACATAACACAACATTCAACTTCTTGGGAACCGTTTGTGTCGCTGTCTGAAGAATCGTTGTCTGAAGAGTCGGTATCCACAGAGTTGTAGTAATTTGTGTTCAATATATTATTGCCATTAAAATAAAAGTATTGAAGTTTTGGAAAATTGCAGCAAATATTTCCTAAAAATAATTTATTAATCAAATCTTTTTTCTTCAAATCAATCGTTAAATGTGTTAATTGTTTGCAATTATTCAACAAATCAGTCGTTATATCAAACTCTTGAATAAATCTTCCGCTGATTTGCAAACGTTTCAAATGATTGAAGCAATTATTGATTGTAAGCATTACTTCACTCAAAGGCTCATCAGAATTGCACAGAAATGCCGGTGAATTAAAAAATGACAGACTTTTAAGTTTTGGACAATTAATAGACAATTGTTTCAAAAAGTCCGTCGGTTTTGTGTCGTGTATTGATATGTATCTAATCTTGAGATCAATTAATTGTGTCATTTGTGACAAACCATTCATCAGTACAGCCATTGATGTTTTAGAGAACATAAGAACGCAGATCTCAACTGATTTCAAAGTTTTATTATTGTTTTGACAAAATGTTTGAAAAACATTAAAATCAATGTTTTTATCGTCGAAATGAAAGCAAACTTTTTGTAATTTCTTAAACAAAATCTCATTTTCATTACCACTCAATAAAGACAATGAACGCAAAAAATAGTCGCCAAAAATTTTTGTCAAATTTGGATACAAATGAAGATTTTTTGAAATGATTTCTTGATTTTTCCAACAAATATTGTGAACTGATATGCATTTCAATTGTTTGCCAAATATTGAGAAAATTGTGATTAATGTTGCCTCGAATTCAAAATATATATTTTTGAATTCAATTCTTTCAATATTTCTACACTTTTTATGTATTAATGAAATTAAATTATTGTTCAGTTTTTCACACAATTTCTGGTCTAATCTGAGATGTGTTTGTGTCTCATATATAACTCTCTGCCACTGTTTGGACACCTCTTCGTATCGGAACCGCTCTTTGATCGGCAAATAAGACAACAAAAGTTGACACAAATCATCACCGAATCTGTCCATTGATTGTCTCATTTGTGGTTCTCTTCGGACTTTATTTGTGTCACTTCTGAGACCAACTCTTCTTCTCTTCATTTCATTCATTATTCAATCAATTCATTAACTCTTCATTGGATGTGAAGAAGTGATGCCTTAAATGATGACAATATGAATAATATTTACATTTCACACAATTTATGCCTATATTTGATACCAAAACTCAAATGCAATGTAAACTAAATCAACAATTAATACACAATTAAATCAATACTCAATCAAAACAGCGTTTAAATGAATTGTGTGTCAAATATTAAACACTTCTTTAGGAGATCTGTTCTCAGGTCTGGTCAAACATGCAATGAGTCTTATGTTTAAAATCTCTGTATTTATGACCAAAAATATGCGACAAATATAAAGATTAAGTGTTTATCAAATGACAGATAAAAGGATTGTTTAAATAAAACATTAAATTTAAACAGAAATAAAAATCTAATGAATATTTTCAGGTGACTTTCAAAGGAATTAAAGTGTGGGTTGTGTTGGCACAGGTGTTCACATAGATGTTGCCCAGTCTTATGATATCCACATTAATCCTTATCTAAAATTTTTATTAAATCAATAGTTGTAATAACTTTTTAAATAAAACCTTTGAATTAATTAAATTTACTGATTTTAGAGAAATAAAGTTTACAGTTAATTATTTATTACCGGTATTTGTTTTCATAGATTTCATTCACTTTTATAAAACATTTATAAAACACTCATAAAACACTCATAAAACACTCAAAATATTAATAATAATTAAAACATTTAATTAAATAATAAAGACTTGAAATCACATTTAAATCAATAATAAATCAATTTAAGTCTAACAGTAAATATTAAAAATAAAATCCAATTTTGTTATACAATTGTATGACTTGTAGTGAATTATTGATAAAAGTAATCAAAAATACAAAAAAAATAAAAGTAATTTGTTTTATAAAATGACATTTATGTGAAATTCTTGGGAAGCGTTTGTGTGAAGTCTTCGCTACCATTGAGTGGTTAAGAGTCTAACGACTCAATCGATGTCTAAAGTGATTGTCTCAATAGATAGGGTGTAGATCTTATGGTTGGCCAGTAGTAGGAATACATAAGTTTATGTTATTATTACACTTTTTAAACCATTCAACGATTTAACAAATTAAGTTAATTATAATATGTAAAAACAATTTACATTAACAGTAATCAACACTTTATTCAGTTTTCATTAAAATAAATTCCAATAATTTTTGGTGATTTCCAATCGTTGAGAGGTTTAACTGTGCTTTCGGTGTAGTCTTCGTCGCCATAGAGTCTAATGGTCTGTATTTTAGGCAATAATGACAACGAATTCAATATATTTGCTGTCATTTTCTCATAATTAATGCATAAATATTGAAGTTTCGGGAAATTATTGGCAATATTTGCGAAGAACTCGTCGTTTATTATGCGATAGTAATCTATTTTACGGCCAATCGTTAAATGTGTTAATTGTTTGCATTTATTCAACGATTCACTCATTAATACAAACTCTTTGGGAAAATATCCACTAATTTCTAAACGTTTCAAACGATTGAAGTAATCATTAATTGTTTGAATTATTTTACAATAATTGTCGATTGATTCACAATCCAAATGAAGGGTAAAACTATTGAGTTTCGGGCAATTAATAGCCAATTGGATCAATTGATCCCAAGATATGACATCCTTGTATTCATTCCCAAAAATCCTGATATCAGTTAATTCAGTCATTTTTGACAAACCATTCATTAGTATTGAGTTCTCTTCAAAACAGTTTTCAGTCGTCACTATAATTGTCTTCAATTGTTTGCCATATATTCTCACAAATGGTTGAAAACTATCCATAGTTTGTGTGTTGAATAGAAACCAAAGTGTTTGTAATTTCTTAAACAATATCTCATTTTCATTACCACTCAATGCAGTCAATTGGTCGCCAAAAATGTCGATTTCTGTTAAGTTTGTCAAACATTTGACTCTCGTTTGTGTGAAAACATTACTTTTGCAAAAATCAATACATTTTAATTGTTTCGCAAATTTAGTGATAAAACAATCAAATGTTAAGTCATTTCCAATCCATTCATAAGTAGAATTGTATGAATAAATTGAATGCAATTTATGACAGTCTTTGATAATTGTTTCAAATCTAGTCTCCGATGAAATGTAGTCAATACTTGTGATATTTTTGCACTTTTTAAATATTAATTCAAATGTTTTGTCACTTATTTTATCTGCGATTTCAATTGGGATCTCGTATTGAGTCTCATATATAACCATATGATCAGTTGTGGCCACTTGTCTACCTTTACGCTCTCGGACTGTCAACGCGGGTCTATCGGGAGTTACAGCGTGTCTATGAGTGCGGAGTTTATGTGTGCGAAC